GTATTTCCTCAGCAGCCAGCACGGATCAGCTCCAGGCATGACGAAGCGATATCGTCCTCTTTTGGAAGGCCAAACAAAGTAGTTTCGCTTTCACAACGAAACACACAGCGACTCCACAACATGGCAGCGGTGGCAACAGCAAGAATTAAAGTTATGCCTTCTTTTTTTTGCATGAACATTTGGGCGGCTTTATGCAAATCTTCCCACATTGTGACGTAGATATGTGGGGGCGTGTTTAAACGAGGCGTTTTAGGTAGGCGTGGTTGACTCTTAACTTTTATAAAGAATATCTCTTTGGATTTGAGACTTTAGTCTTTGCAACTTTACAGATCTTCTTTATGCACCAAGAGCTTGTAACACTCCAAAGAGAAAGGAAAAATTGAAATCGCATCATATGACCCCTTTAAAGTTGATGGCATCACAAGATGGTTTAAACACACCCATCTCCTTACATTACAATACATCACATTCCGCTTTCCACCGCATTTGCTCTCCTGACAGCACATAACATCTGAAGCCTCATCAAAAAAACACACTCAGGGTTGTGTAAGCTACTTTGTGTTTATATCAGAGTTTTCCCATTTGACTTTCTTGGCTGGTAATTTGAGATGTTGCTGTTGTCATGTCATGTTTACAAAATTATAAGTTCCTGTTGTGCAACGGCTGTGTCTTGCATGCAATGTCCTGGAAAAGGTCACTAATGCTTCCAAGATTATGGATGCTCCCTTGATTACCCCCATTTCATGACCGCAGTGTTCTTAAGGGCCAGCTGTTTCCTATACTTGGAGCTGGGAATGTGTCTGATACCAATTCCTACTCCATAAAAAAAATGGTCAGCCACATGGGAAATCATGTGGGCGGTACGACCAAAATCATATATTGCAGTATGAGTAATTTTATTACAGTAACAGTAAGTCCTTTTCACAACACAGTAGTTGTTGCTGGAATTTGAAGCCAGTGAATTAAATACTTTACAGAAAAAATAAACTTTATCTATTTTTATTATTTAAAATATATATATTTTATTACATTTAATAAAATAATAAAACATAAAAATCAAATAATCATATATATTTTAATATTTGATATAAAACAAAATATAACAATCATATTAAAAAGCATTCATGTGAGATTCACATTGTATGTGTGGTGCATCTCAATGCGTCAAAACCAAATTTGTAACTACATATTAACAACACTATCTACACTGAAGGCAGCCGTCTCCATTAAATTATTCAGCAGAAATACAACATTATAAACAGCATGGCATTATAGCTCTACCGGTTGACATATTTACACCTGATCTGGTAAGAAATCTAGGTGAAATGAGAGAAACTCAGGCATGAATAAACTTGCTTTGCCCAGCCCTGTGAGAATCAAACCGAATTCATTTACACACGCACACATAAATAAATATTTGTACGTGGTCCAGAAGAACCTGTTGGGTCACACTGCTTTGACTCTGCAGAGCCTTAAGTTCTCTGAAATGTTCTCTATATGCTGGATCTATTTTTCTGTTCTGTTTCCTGGTCCCTGTATTTCCTGCTTTCTCTCTTAACCACCTCCTTCTCCAGCCCCAAGACTAATTTGAGCTGCTGGAATGAGGCCAGTGCACAAAGCAAATGTATTGCAGGCCAGCTAAGACCGAATAGTCCCATAAAAAAACACAATAGATGCACCGCAGGCCTGCTATGACTTAATAGTCCCATAAAAAAAAAAACAATAAATGCAAACGTTGATGATGATGGCTCGGCTAATATGTACCACAATCCAGACATGCAGATTCAAAAATCTCTTTAGCAGCTACAACTTTCGCTATATATTTTAATACATTTGATTTGTTTTAACCATGTTTTTATTCATTAAACGCATACTTCTCTGACCACATTGGGTTTTACAAGCACCAAGTCCAGTTTAAAATGCAGCCAAGGTACAGACCACATTTTGTATTTTACAAGTGATATGATACCCATTTTTGAGATGTAAATTTATAACAAGTGGCAGACAAAATGTCATGTTGAGGTACACTACTGTTCAAAAGTTTTTTTTTTCTTTCTTTAAGAAAGATTTCTTAAGGATCATGTGACACTCAAGATTGGTGTAATGGCTGCTGAAAATTCAGCTTTGCCATTACAGGAATAAATTACATCTTAAAATATATTAAAATAGAAAACAGTTATTATAATATCTCACAATATGACTGTATTTTTAATCAAAGAATCCTACAGACCCAAAACTGTGTTTCTGAGAGTGTTGCAGATCCCCTCTGCACCCCTTGAAATCTTAAGTGATTGTGCACTGCAAAACATACTTTTAATACAGGCCAAATGTTACGTAATCCAGGGTCAGGTTGTTGCATGGGGGTGCCAGTGGGAAAAGGCAAATGAAAACACACACAAAGCTCAGAGATATGAGAATATTGCAAATAAATGACATCATACTCGTCATAGGATTACCTAACATGCTGTGTAATTGAGGACATGTGTGGCACAGCATTAAGAGTGCCAAGTTTTGGGGTGTCTTGTAAGCTTGACCTGGCTGAGTGTTCTAGTTTTTGTCTTGGATACTACACAAACAAAAGGCTGATGTCATGTAAGACCCTCCCAGACGATTCCAACAAGCCAAACAGCGTTGCATAACTAAGCTTGAATAGTTATCGGTCCACCAGGATTCTTATGATTTAAATTAGATCGGAGTCTGAACCCTGTCCAGACCCTCTAATGAAAGCCCTACGCTGTCAACCATGTGCTACAGACCTTCACAATCATATACTTTTGCAATTGCATATATATATATATATATATATATATATATGTGTGTGTGTGTGTGTGTGTGTATATAAAATGTTTATAAATA